GCTGTAAATACCGATGTTTTTGGGCCGGGTCGCCCCCCCCCCGCCCCCCCCCCGCCCCCCCCCCCCCCCCCGCCCCCCCCCCCGCCCCCCCCCCGCCCCCCCCCCCGCCCCCCCACCCCCCCCCGCCCCCGCCCCCACCCCAGCCCCAAACGCCTGAAATACCCTGAAAGCCAAACCCTCGGGGCCGCAATGAGGGGCGTTAGCCTAAACCCTAAACTTTACCTAAACCCTCAACCCTAAACCCTGAACCCTTTCCGTGAACCTCCGAGTAAGATCTCGAGAGGCAATTCGCAACCTCCCGAACCCTAGGGGCACCTCAACCCTACTCTCAGGGGTTTCGGGGTGGGTTTAGGGTGGAGCTCTGCACTTAGGGGTTTCGGGTTGAGGGTCTAGCCACTTCGATCGCCTGGAATCTAGGACGAGAGCGGCTTGCTTATCCGAGTCGTCCGCACTTTCATCGAAGTCCAGGCTGGTCGCTGTTTAGGGTCCGGGATTTCATATGAGGGATCTTCGGATTCAGGGTTCAGGGTTCAGGGTTCTTAGGGGTTAGGGTTTAGGGTCGCTGAGGGTTGCTTAGGGTTTAGGCTTTAGGAGGGAGAGTTTAGGAGGGTTTAGGAGGGTTTAAGGGTTTGTAGGTTTTCGGAGCTTTTATGATTTGAAGGGTGTTGGCGTCATAGCGTTTAGGGTTTAGGGGGCGCGCTGTAACCGAAGTAGTGGAAGACTCGGGTGCTTGGAAGAAGGGAAGGGTATTCCAATGCCTTCAGACGGCCAGACATTGGGATGTTCCCCCTTATACTACCAGTCCTAGTCCTGAATGGGGGTCCCTTATCGTACCCCCTATAAGAACAAACCTTGCATAGCCTGAAGAAGGGGAACTGGCAACCGGGGTGGGGGGTTCAGCATGGATGTTCAGCCACATATGGGGGGCGGGGGGGTCCGAAATAGGGGGGGGGGATCTTCCTGGGGTGCCTGTCATACATTGAACAGAAAATAGTATTATGGTTCTGAGATGCTGGACAAAGGTGCGGAACCCAGTAGATGGATGAACTTTACGAAACTTGGTGGCTTCCTTATCTTCTAGAATAATGGATGTTGCCTCAGCACCCAGAACCCTCAACCGTACCTGAATATGTGGCCAGGTCTCCAATTTTCGTGGTTCCCTGTTATCGTATGGGCTCTTCCTTTTTTTGAGTTCAGGTTTACCCTAAAACCTAAACCCTAAACCCTAAACCCTAAACCCTAAACCCTAAACCCTAAGCCCTAAACCCTAAACCCTAAACCCTAAACCCTAAACCCTAAACCCTAAACCCTAACCGCCAGTTACTGGGGGGAGCCTGCCAAGATCCTCATCAGGAATGTTTGGCTGACGAATTGAAGGGCCCTAGAAGCAAGGGTGAGGATCAAGCGGCTAAGCCTGGGGTTTAGGGTTTAGGGTTTCGGGTTTAGGGTTTAGGGTTTAGGGTAACTCCCCCCCCCCCCCCCTTTCAGGAGGTGCAGTCGTTGGAGGAAAACTCCTTCGCGGTCGGCAAATGCCAGACGATGACCCTCGGCCTTGCCAGAAAAGTCTGGAAAAAGGGCTTAGGGTTTAGGGTTTAGGGTCTAGGGTTTAGGGGTCTAGGGTCTTTGGGTTTAGGGCTTAAACTATAAGTTATCGGCCGGTAGGGTCGATAGTGCCCTTAGGAACTCGGTTCTACGTCCTTTCTAACATTACCCAAGGAAACATACATCATGTTGTTTAGTACGCTTGTAAGAGGAATGTAGTACCGGGGCATAAAGGTCATTGGTGTCAGCAGGATGCGCGGTTCTCAGCGTGAAGAACCCTAAGCCCTAAGCCCTAAACCCTAAACCCTAAACCCCAAACCCTAACCCTAAACCCCCCAACCCCCCAAAACCCCCAAAGCACCCAAACTCCTTTAAGCTCCTAAACCTAGTCTCCCAGACCTAGACCAGCCCCCAAAGCCTGAACCTAAGACCCAGAAGATGTGTATGTAGGATTTGAGGAGAGGCTGTTTTCTTCACTGTTTTGTTTCTCATTTCTTTCTTTGCGGAAGGGGGGGGGGGGTACACTCAGGATGGGTTTAGGTTTAGGTCTTAGGGCTCGGGTTTCGGGTTTAGGGGCCCTTAACCGTTTCTGGGAGCGTCTTAAGGTTCAGAGGCTCTTTGTTTTGGGCGGTCCCCCGGGCTGCCTCGGGCTCACAGGAGGGAGGGCCCCCCGGAGCAACGCGGCACCCTTCTTTGGGGTTCCTCTCATCAGGATTTAGGGTTTAGGGTTTAGGGTTTAGGGTTATTGGTAAAGTACCCATGCACTCGGTTATGTTGCTGCAACATAGGGCTCCTTGTATATGTTGGCGAGTGTAGGTTGGGATGTTCCCCCTCATACTGACAGTCCGTCATCGGGATTACAATAGGGGGTACCATAATCCTTGTTTCGTGTTCGCATAAGAGGGAACATCCCAAAGTGTAGACGTGGGGTGATGGGGGGTGTTTTTGTGCTGGATACCAGCAGTTAGAAACCTGCTTCATGTGGAAGCTCCCCTCCTGAAAGCTGCCCTGCTGACCCTAAAGCCCAAACCCGAAACCCTCCCCAAACCCTAAACCCCCGAAGGCCTGAACTCCGTTGCGGAGGCCCGAGTTGCCTGTTCTAGACCTCACTTGGGCACCAGCACCACCGGAAGAAGAGCATGAAGAAGAGGAGGAGACGGGGTTTACGATATTAGGGGGGGGGAAAGGGTCGATTCTCCAAATTATGTACCGGTGGGGCTGGTGGGGTGGGCAGAATGATGTGTATGGTCTGGCAGGGTTTGGGATATGTGGTTTTGGGGTAATTCGGGTTTCTGGGTTTTGTGGTATAGTTGGGGGTTCTGGGTAAACCCTAAATCCAAAACCCTATCTCAACCCTAAGCCCTTAACCCAAAGCGACATCACGTCCGGGAGGAGGTTGAGGAGAAGGATGAAGACGAAGCTTCTTGTCATGGCTCCAGGGTTCATTGGCTTTAGGGTTTAGGGTTTGGGGTTTGGGGTTTGGGGTAATGGATACCCTTAACGTCCCTCCCCCCCCCCAATCCAGAACTTCTACGCCATACGTAGCACCCTAGCAACCCCCCCGCTAAGCCCCCCAAGCCCCCTAAGCCCCCTAAGCCCCCTAAGCCCCCTAAGCCCCCTAAGCCCCCTAAGCCCCCTAAGCCCCCTAAGCCCCCTAAGCCCCCTAAGCCCCCTAAGCCCCCTAAGCCCCCTAAGCCCCCTAAGCCCATAAGCCTAAACGCGGACACCCAAGCAGGTTCTTTCAAGCCCCTAGGGTTTTGAGGGCTCACCTGGGCTTCCTTTTTGAGGGGTTCAAGGAGGTTTGAGGAGGATGTGGAGCCCGCTACCGGACCCCGCTTACGCGCTTAAACCTTAAACCTTTACCTGCTGCCTGTCTGCCCGCCTGTCTGTTGTTTGTTTCGGTGCTTGTTCAACGCTCGAACCAGAAAGGGAGATGCAGGGCAAGCTTTCGCCTTCAGGGTTGAAGGCCTTTCTGGGTCTTGGTTCATCTTTATGAAGAAACCAGGGGCTACCTAGAACAAAGGCAAGGGAAAGCTTAGGGTCTAAGCTTTGCGTTGGGAGTGCTGAGGTGCGGCTCACTGTTCGGGTGGTGCGGACTTTCCTAGAGTTCGAAGCTTTTGCTGCTGGGGCGGCAGACGAGCTCGCACGCCAGTTCACCCCAGAGATCTCTAAGAAAACCCTAGACCCTGGCCCTACATGTAGAGCACTTCAGGGGCTTTATAAGTGGGTGATAAGTACAGTTCTAACTAGTTACTAAGTACCATGAACCTCCAAGTAGGCCCCAAAGCCAAAAGAGCCCTTAAGGCCTGCGAACCCTGCCAGCAGGTTCACTAGATTTTGACGCTTTCGGGGCAAGGCTTTCAGGTCATCCTGCAGGCATTGAGGCCAAACACCCGAAACGCCCCATTAAACACCCCAGACAGGTGATACCGAGGTCCCTAAACCCTAAACCCTAAACCCTAAACCCTAAACCCTAAACCCTAAACCCTAAACCCTAAACCCTAAACCCTAAACCCTAAACCCTAAACCCTACACCCTAAACCTAGGTCTCTAACCATAAGCCGACCAGACCCCAGAACCCTCAGCCCTTTCCACGTTTTGCGAGCCGAAAAGATTGAACCCTAGAACCGAAACTTCTTAAACCCCCCCCCCCCCCCCCACCGCCTAAAAGGAGGTACCGGGAGTTGTGGGAGGTTGCTGGGAGGTGTAGTCTCTACACCCCAAGCCCTAAACCCTACAAACCCTACACCCTGAGCTCTGAGCCCTGAGCCCTAAACCCTAAACCCTAAACCCTAAACCCTAAACCCTAAACCCTAAACCCTAAACCCTAAACCCTAAACCCTAAACCCTAAACCCTAAACCCTAAACCCTAAACCCTAAACCTAACCCTAAACCCTAAACCCTAAACCCTAAACCCTAAACCCTAAACCCTAAACCCTAAACCCTAAACCCTAAACCCTAAACCCTAAACCCTAAACCCTAAACCTGAAATTTTCGAACCCTGAAATGGCTGGGCAGTTGAAGCTCCGAAGCCCCCAAGCCCTACACCCCTGTGAGTCCCGGACTCCGCAGCCCCTTAAGACCCTGGGGTTCAGGGTTTAGGGTTTAGGGTTTAGGGTTTAGGGTTTAGGGTTTAGGGTTTAGGGTTTAGGGTTCAGGGTTTAGGGTTTAGGGTTCTGCAGCCCCTCTTCTCGGAAACAAGGGGGATCATGGAGCAGAAAGCATGATGATGGTTCTGAGATGCCGGGTAAAGGTGCGGAAGCCAATCGATGGATGAACTTTGCGAATTTTGGTGGCTTCCTTATCTTCTTCAAGAGCCCAACACCCAGAACCCTCAACCGTACCTGCATATGTGGTCAGGTCTCCAATTTTCGTGGTTCCCTGCTATCGTATGGGCTCTTCCTTTTGGTGTTCAGGGTTGAGGGGTCGGGGACCTCCAGGCCAGATCCAAATCAGGAATGTTTGGCTGGCGCTTTGAAGTGCCGCCTTGTAAACCCTAAACCCCAGACCCGAAACCCTAAACCCTAAACTCCAAACCCCAACCCTAAACCCCAACCCTAAACCCCAACCCTAAACCCCAACCCTAAACCCCAAACCCCAAACCCCAAACCCCAAACCCCAAACCCCAAACCCCAAACCCCAAACCCTAAACCCTAAACCCTAAACCCTAAACCCTAAACCCTAAACCCTAAACCCTAACCCCCCCCCCCCGCCTCAGGAGGTGCAGTCGGAGGAGAACTCCTTCGCGATCCAGAAATGCCAGACGATGACCCTCGGCCTTACCAGAAAAGTCTGGAAAAGGGCTGAGGGTTTAGGGTTTAGGGTTTACGGCTTGAACTTATCAGTTATAGGCCAGTAAAGTCCATAGTGCCCTTAGGAACTCTGTTCTACGTCCTTTCGAACATAACCCAAGGAAGCATACATCATGTTCTTTAGTATGCTTGTAAGGGGACTCTCGTAAGTCTAGTACTAGAGGTCATGGACGTGCTCAACAGGATGCGGGGTTATCAGCGTGAAGAACCCTAAGCCCTAAGCCCTAAGCCCTAAGCCCTAAGCCCTAAGCCCTAAGCCCTAAGCCCTAAACCCTAAACCCTAAACCCTAAACCCCTTAACCCTTAACCCTAAACCAGGACGAGCCAGCAGCGCCAGCACAGGTTTTAGCCGTCCAGAACGAAAACCCTGAACACCCTAGACCCACCCTAAACCGGAAAAACCCTAAACCCTAAACCCTAAACCCTAAACCCTAAACCCTAAACCCTAAACCCTAAACCCTAAACCCTAAACCCTAAACCCTAAACCCTAAACCCTAAACCCTAAACCCTAACCCTAAACCCTAAACCCTAAACCCCAAACCCTAAACCCTGAACCCTAAGCCCTAAACCCTAAGCCTTAACCCTAAACCCTAAACCCTAATCCCTCAACCCTAAACCCTGAACCCTAAACCCTAAACCCTAAACCCCCCAACCCCCCAAACCCCCTTACACCCAAACTCCCTACGCTCCTAAGCCTAAACTCCTAGACCAGCCTCCCAAACCCTAAACCTAAACCCTAAACGGTTTAGAGAATTAGAGGAGAGGCTGTTTGCTGCATTGTCTTGTTTTTTTTTTTTTTCGGGGGGGTTAGGGGGGGGTGCGGTACACCCAGGATGTTGAGTAGATTTCGGGGTGGTTAGGGTTTAGGTTTAGGGTTTAGGGTTTAGGGTTTAGGGTTTAGGGTTTAGGGTTTAGGGTTATGGGTAAAGGGGTATTGGTAAAGTACCCATGCACTCGGTTATGTTGCTGTAACAAAGGGCTCCTTGTTTTTGTTGGCGAGTGTAGATTGGGATGTTCCCCCTTCTACTAACAGTCCGGAATCGGGATTATGATAGTACTATTGCGGACTGCTCGTATACGGGGGAACATCCCAAAGCAGAGGTTTTTTTGGTGGGTACCAGGAGTAAAAGCCTGCTTCAACTTCATGTAGTCCTGATGTGAGGTGCTTTGCTTGTGGAAACTCCCCTCCTGAAAGCTGCCCTGCTGACCCTAAACCCCAAACCCGAAACCCTCCCCAAACCCTAAACCCCCGAAGGCCTGAACTCCGTTGCGGAGGCCCGAGTTGCCTGTGCTAGACCTCACTTGGGCACCAGCACCACTGGAAGAAGAGCATGAAGAAGAGGAGGAGACGGGGTTTACGATATTAGGGGGGGCAAAGGGTCGATTCTCCAGATTATGTACCTTATTGGGGGTCCGTATTGGGTCTATATTCGGGGTCCCTCACAGCTGATTTTCAGGCTGGAGACTAGGGCTGGTGGGGCTGGTGGGGTGGGCGGAATGATGTGTATGGTCTGGCAGGGTTTGGGATATATGGTTTTGGGGTAATTCGGGTTTCTGGGTTTTGTGGTGTAGGGTTGGGGGTGTTGAACCCTAAGCCAAAGCGACATCTAACCGACCAGACCCCAGAACTCTCGGGTGATACCGATGTCCCTAAACCCTAAACCCTAAACCCTAAACCCTAAACCCTAAACCCTAAACCCTAAACCCTAAACCCTAAACCCTAAACCCTAAACCCTAAACCCTAAACCCTAAATTCCCACCCAGGCCTGCTTAGTGCCTGACCCAGAACTACACCCGCCAGCCACTAAGCTTGGAGCTACTATGCAAGCCTAAAGAGTTGTGTTGAGCGTGAGCTGCACTTCCAGTTCCGGTGCAGTACCCCGCCTGGGGCACCTGGCAACCGACAACGGCTTCTGCAGGGCCTCCCTGGGGCCCTACTCTGGACTCCTGGCCCCCCAAGAACGACCCCCCTGGCCGCCTGGCCCCCGCCTGTCTTTCCCCTGAACCTGTTGGGCGCCTTAAGGCGCTTGACCGCTCAGGAGACGAAGGAGGGCGTGGCGTTGGATGTCCAGTGCCGACCGATGATCCTCAGCCCGGTAGAAAGGGCTGGTGTTTGCGGCTCTGAAGCTTCGAAACCTACCCTAAATCTGAGCCCCCCCCAAGCCCCAACACCTCAAGCACTTAAACCCCAAAGCCGAAAGACCCTACAAACCCCAAATCTCTCAAGCCCCAAAATCCCCAAAACCTCAAACACGAAAAACCCTGAAGCTTTCGAACCACCAGACGTTTTAAAGGTATGTGCTGAATGTGGAGTGTAGGGTTTAGTGATGAGGGTAGGCTCATCTTGATCGATGCGCATAGTTGGACGCGGCCCCAATGGGCTAGAGCGTAGGGCTTCGGGGTTATGTTGCTCTCCAAGCCCTCAACCCTATCACCCTAAACTCCCTAAACTCCCTACACCCCTAAACCCTAACCCCTAAACCCTACACCCTCAACCCTCAACCCTCAACCCTAAACCCTAAACCCTAAACCCTAAACCCTAAACCCCTCAAACCCCCTAAACCCTAACACCCCAAACTCCCGAACCCCCTTTGCCGTAAACCCCACCCTGACCCCTTAAATTGCATTCCGGTGAAGCCCAGGCCGTTGTTGCCCAGCCTTGGCATTGAGCCAGAGAGCGACATGGAGGCACGGCTCATTTAGGGTTTAGGGTTTAGGGTTTAGGGTTTAGGGTTTAGGGTTTAGGGTTTAGGGTTTAGGGTTTAGGGCTTGGGTGCTTTTTTGGGTGTTTGTAGTGTGTAGGGTGTTTTGCGGGTTGAGTCTCTCTCTCCCTCCCTCCCTCCCTCCCTCCCTCGCTCGCTCGCTCGCTCGCTCCTCTCTCGCTCTTTGTCTCTTTGGAGAAAACGTAGGGTTTAGGCCTCAGGGCTTTAGGGGTTTAGGGCGCAGGGCCCTGTTTATCGTGTGTCCAAGGCTCTTTGATGTCAGACTATGATCATCAAAAAGGTGATGAATAGTGTGTACACAGGACATGAATATGAATGAGAATTGGCGTATAGTTTGTGTGATCACAGACAACGCTTCAGCATCGCAGGGCTTCACTCGGGGTAGAAGCCCTAAGCCGCAAGCCCTAAGCCCTAACCCCCCAGTCAGCTCAGCTCTTGGATGCAGGCGCTTCGGGAGAAGCCGCTTGTTTCCGACCGTGTCGACAAATGCACGCCGACGCGCCTGGGACGTTCTTGGCAGCGGTTTGTGTTCTTTGTGTTGGGGCGAGGAGTAGCAAGATTGGGGGACCCCTTCATATACCCCCCCGCCCTCCCCGAAAAGCAAAATGTTACCCTGAGTCTGAGTAGGGTTTAGGGTTTAGGGTTTAGGGTTTAGGGTTTAGGGTTTAGGGTTTAGGGTTTAGGGTTTAGGGTTTAGGGTTTAGGGTTTAGGGTTTAGGGTTTAGGGTTGACCGTTGACTCCAAAGCCCGAAAAGCCCGCACGAAGTCCCGCGCGGATTCGAGGCCTGAACCCTAAACAATAAACCCTAACCCTAAACCCTAAACCCAAAACCTTAAACCCTCAACCCTCAACCCTCAACCCTCAACCCTCAACCCTCAGCCCTCAGCCCTCAGCCCTCAACCCTCAACCCTAAACCCTAAACCATTGCTCCCCATGTTTTGCGGCTTGAGGCCGCCCAAAACCCCTTTGGCGGCCTCAGGGGTGCGGAAGTTGCACCGGAACTCGACTCACACTTAACACGCCCCTAAACAGTTTGGGGATTGGGGTTTAGGGTTAGGGTTTAGGGTTTCGGGTTGAGGATCTGAGATGTGAAGATGTGTGCGGATAAGGTGGGAGGGAAGTGAGGGAAGGCGCCCGCCTCGCACCTGCCCTCCCCACACCTGGCATCACGTAGACCACGAGCCGAAAATGTCGCGAACTGAAAAGCCCCCCCAAAACTCCAAAGCCTAGTTCCTTTGCCGAGGCCCCTGCCCATGAAAGACATGGTCACGTCTGGAGATGCCGGAGACCATGCACCACTTACTCAGGCAGTTAGGGTTTAGGGGGGTTTAGGGTTTAGGGTTTAGGGTTTTAGGGTTTAGGGTTTAGGGTTTAGGGTTTAGGGTTTAGGGGGTCCCTGTTCATTGGAGCTCAAGCCAAACCTTCAACCCGCAACCCTAAAAGAACCGTATTTTTGTCGATACTTCAAGATATCAGCTGTATTACCATACTTACGCTACTTCGTTGGCTCAAGACAAAAAGTGCGTTGCACTGTACTTGTTGAGTTTAGGGCTTTCCGCTGGTAACAATAGGTTATCAGCCGTAGACTCTAACACTACCTGCCGGTGTCATGGAAGGGCAATCTCCCGGAAATGCTGCAGCAATCCCCGTACCTGTGGAGGACGAAACAATGTCACTGCTTAGAACCCCGTTGTAGAAAAACCTACAGCTGTATCGACAAACCCTCCCAGGGATGGTGAGGTTATGCCGCTCAGTCAAGAGAACTTGGCAATGCTCGCAGCCCAGAACGATCCAAGAATCATGCATGTTGGAGCAGTTAGCGAGCAACGACTTGCCACTGGTAATGTTCCAGGTTTAGGCTCCATGAACTCTTGGAACATGGTTCCAGGGCTAAGCGCCCCAGCATACTCACCGACAGAGAGAGCTCCTTCAGTGTTCTCTCCCACGTTCAATGCCCAGAACATAGACCGTAGGCAGCTCCAGGTGAATCAAATCGACGCAAGGCAATTGGCGTTGAGCCAGGTTGACATTCACGTCAACGCCGACACTGGGCCAGCCGTTGCCATGGCCGCAGAGGCGCGCCACAGGGAAATTGTAGGAGCCATAGGGGAGGCTCATAGGGAGGAAATCAACATACTTAGTTCCCAAGCCACATCCAAGGTGGCACAATTGCGTCATGAGTATACCGTCCTTCAAAACAATCTTAAGCAGCTTGAGAGTGAAGCCGCCACTAAGTCAAACAACGATCAAGGTATCATTGATCAGCATTCTGCTGCTCTTGCCAGAGCAAGGACTGAAGCCATTGAGCTCCACAAGCGTCTTTGCGAGGCGGAAGCCTACGCTAATGCCGAGTACTCCAAGCTTGAGAGACTTTCTCACAATGTTCAGAGTGAGTACGCCGTTCACAATGCGAGGCTATCCGAACAGGTTGAGAGCATGAAGGTTGAATTCAATGCTATGCTCGGACGCTTCAATTCTGAAGCCGAGCATCGCTCAGCACTCACGAGCGAGAACTCTGATCTTCGTGCTAAGCTGCTTCAAGCTCAAGGGATGCTACAGAAGGCTGCCAGTCAGACCGATTCGCCCCATCATCGGGAGCCGGAAGGCAACCCTGGTCCTAGCGCGCCACCGCCCGGCCTCCCTCAGGTGCATCGCCTCGACACACCACCTGGCCAAGGCAAAGGCAAGCCAGGTGACCCAGATGATGACGATGACGATGATGATGGAGACAAGAAGAAGAAGGACGACAAAAAGAAGAAGAAGAAGAAGAAAAAGAGGGACTCATCTTCGTCCTCTGATTCTTCCTCATCTTCGGCGATTTCACCAAAAGAGATGAAGAGATTTTTCAAGAAGATGATGAAAGGTGGTTCAAATGACAAAGATGCCGATAAAGCCGAGTCATCGGATAAGGCTCCCAAAACCAAGGAAGCTGAGAAGGTTATAGTACCAAAGTTTCCTCAGCCCGAGAGCTATCGCAATTGGCGCATCAGAGTTCGTGACGCGGTCGTAGCTGCATCTGATAAGCCCGACAAAAGCATCATTCCTTGAACCACTATTCCACAGACAGGTCAAGAAGGTCAAGGCTCTCTCGCATGATATCAACATCTATGAAAGAGCTCTTGAAGGTTCCAAAGAACGGTCCTACAGTTTCCTGTATGATGCTGCAAATGCGCACCTCAACAGGAAGCGCCTTGAACGCAACCGGGAACGGATGGCTCGACAGACGGGCAGTCCTGCTGTGCCCACCGCACCTGCACCTAAGAGGGTTCCTAAGGGTTTCTGCATTTCATGGGTCCGTAATGGTTCCTGTACCAAAGGTGACCAATGTAAGTACAAGCACCAGACTCCGGCCAAGGGACGCGGCCGCTCCGCTACGCCGGCTGGCTCACGAGCAAGCTCTGCAAGCCCCGGTGGTAAGCCTAAGATCTGCAAATTCTACAAGCAAGGACGTTGCGATCGAGGGGAGAACTGCAATTTTCTCCACACGAGCAAGCCAGGTGCAGCTGCGCCTTCCGAAACCAGTGGGAAGGGGTCAAAAGGCAAAGGGAAGAAGAAGGACCGCAAGAAGAAGAAAGATCGCAAGTCTTCTCGCTCTAGCTCCAAGGGTTCTAAGGGTAGCAGGAATTCCAAGGGAAGTCAAGGCTCCAAGAACTCGAAGGGCTCAGGCAGAAAGAAGCCTTCAGGCGGTATCCCTGCTGCTGTATGTCTCCTTAGTGCTCTTGTTGCTGGTTCGGCCACCCAAGCCGATGCTTTCTCCCTCCGGAAGGAGTGGACGGACCAGATCACCAATTGCACGTATCCCTATAGTCTGGCGCTACCAGCGGTAAATTTCAGCTCTGAAGTCGATTACATCAACATTCCTGTTAGTGATCCCAACGCGAGGTTCACTCCAGTTTCGCCCACCAACCGTAAGCATCGAGGAGAAAAGCCTTTGGATTTTGTTCCAGAAACCAGAGCAGACTCCATCCGAGAGGCCCAGATGTCAGCGAAGATGCTGAAAGCTTCCATCTCTACCAAGGACGACGTCCCGGCCTGCCGCTGGGAGTGTGATTCAGAGATTGGATGTAATCACTGTATCCCAAAGGGTCTCAGAGTGTCGTGCCCTGCTAAGACCAGAGGGTCCTCTAAGATGCTTAACCTTGAATGGATTGGCGACACAGGGAGTGCACAAGACCTAATCGCTGAGAGGGATCTCCAGCATTTGAAGGCTTATGAGTCTGAACAGCCGATCAACATCATGACCGCGAACGGTCCCAGCTCTGCTGACAAGCAATGTGATGTCGACGTTCCGTCGATTGCTATTTCTGCCAAGCCTTATGTGCTGCCCGACACTCCTTCAGTCCTCTCCATAGGACAGCGTTGCATGGAGCAAGGTTTCGATTTCATTTGGAGAGCCTGCGCTCGCCCTTACTTGAAGACTCCTGAGGGTGAAAGAGTTTTCCTTGATGTTCGAGATAATGTGCCTTTCCTCAAATCGTGGAAGGAGGGCACTGCCTGCCCTGCGCGTGAATCTAAGTCCGATGAGATTCAGCCGGTTGCCAGAAGTGAAGTGCCTGATCGCAGCTCTGAAGAGATTGCTTTGCAGCTTCTGGAGAAGCACGACTTCTCGGAGCGATCATGCGTTGATCTCTTGCGCACCGTCAATTTCGGAGCAGGTAGGAGTAGAAGAAAAGCACTAGGAGAGAAGCATGGCAATAGCAAAGAGAAGTACGTGATACTTGGTGCCTTTGCGCACGGAGGGTTTCATGGTGTAACCAAGAGAACTGGACGCCATGTTAACACTATCAAGTATCTCATCGCGTTTCTTCGCAAGAGAGGCGCGGAGTTGGAGAGCTGTTCCTCACTTTGCATCAACCAGAACTCGCCTATCAAGGTCCATAAGGATGTGAACAATCACAAAGACCATCTCAACGTTACGATTGCCGTGGGAGAGTTTTCCGATGGTGGCCTTTGGATTCATGACCCGAACGCTATGAAAACCAATAAAAATTATCTAGAGGTCAAGGATTCTATAGGCACCAAACTACCTGGGATGGTCCATGACAGTCACAACAAGATTGTTGTTTTTGACCCGAAGACATCCCATTCCGTAAGGCCTTGGAAAGGTGAACGTTGGAGCATTACTGCCTACACCTGTAGGTCAGTTTACCAACTTGATAACCAGGACGTTGCGAAGCTTCGAGGTTGTGGGTTTGTCATTCCTCAAAAGAGGGTTCCTATCACGCCGGCGTCCGCCGATGATCCTGACGAAAGGACTCTCAGGGAACTGATGGAGGAGGACACGCCTGTCCGGCCTCTGCCGGACCGCACCAAGCCTACAGTAAAACTTAAAGCTAAGCCTAAGCCTGAACCAAAAGGGGATGGTGTTCGAGACTCAGGTCTCCTCAGGTCCGAAGGAGCGGCGCGTGTGCGAGCCATCCTGGATGGTTCTCGCCCTGCTCCGCCCTCTGACGAGGTGCGTGCTGAACCGGACATTGGTCCTCCTGCCCCAGCAGTGGCCGATGCCCCCGATGGGGAAGCAGCATCAAGTGACGATCCTGAAGCACCTGAACATAGAGCTCGCAGTCGGAGCAAAGAAGCTCTGATCAAAGAATCAACAACCCGTGAACACCTCATGACTCATGTCCCTAAGAACCCTTATTGCCAAATATGCCAACGAGCTAAGATGTACAAGCCTCCCTCCTACAAGAAGGAAACCAGTACTATCGAAGCAGAGGTTTTTGGCGACCATGTGACCGCAGATCATCTGATCTTACACAGGGACAAGCAAACTGTCATTGAGGATTCACGCCTTGCACTTGTGGTTAAGGATGTTGCCACTTGTTTCATGTATGCATATCCTGCTGCATTGAAGTCCGAAGACGAATGCCTCGTGGCGCTCCAGCATTTCGCATCCGCAAAGGACAATGTGGAGACTTTCTACAGCGACAAGTCCAAGGAACTTGAGGCTGCGGCCAAAACGCTCGGCTGGCGCCATGAGCTCTCTAAGGCTTACATCCAGCAGTCCAATGCTGTTGCTGAGCGTGCTGTGCGAGCCACCACTGAGGGCACTCGCACCAATCTCATTCAAGCTGGCGTCTCGCATGTTTACTGGCCGTTTGCCCTTGAGCATGCATGCACTGCCTATAACATCAGCAATCCGGGGGGCAAAGAGTTCACCCCTTGGTTCAAGCGTTTTGGTGTTGCATTTCCTGAAGAACCCCTTCCTTTCGGTTGTAGGATTGACGTTTGGGTTGGTCCGAAAGCCCAGCGCAAGGGTAGAGATAGATTCGAGCCTACCAGTGAGCCTGCGATCTTTATGGGATAT